CTCTTCTCTAGGCTGAGGGAATGACCACCTCAAAACTACTACTTCAAGGTGGAAGTGATCACAGCATCTATACCTCATCACTGCTTCTGCTGACTCCTCTGTATTCGTCTGAAGATGCGTAGTATGTGAGGGAAACGTTTCGACAATAGAGTCACCCAACTATCGCACTTGTCATACTTACACATGCCTTCACTGAACCACATTTGTCACTTATCTGACCACATAACACACCTAGGTCATTCTGCAGCCTTCTCGTGTCCGCATCAGAATATTTTTGATGGCTTATTTTAGTGCCAAAGACAAACGTATAGTGTCAGAATAGTGTAGTGGAACAGATTAGACAACCGCAATGAAGTAGCGGAAACACTGCATTAGTTAAGGTAAATATTTACTAATTATATCAGTACTCATTTCCTCGTCAATATCGTTCATGTAGATCGTGAACGAAGGTCCCAGCAGTGCTTATCACCCGTGTGTATAACTGGGCATCTCTCTCCATCGTGGAGTGATCGACTTGGAATTTACAGACAGGAACACACGAACATTAACAATGAAAAGTCAGCAATGAACAGTAAGCAGAAAGAAGATCGGAAATTCAGCGCATAAAGATGTAAGACGAGTGAAAGCTAGATGTATATTAACAAACATAATCGCCCAGTGGAGAGGTACCAAGAGTTCGGAAGTGTCGAATCACCAGGAATCAAGGCCGTCAGCTAGACTAACATGATGTGTCACTATTTCGGCAGAAAGAAGACCTCACCTCTGTGATATTAGGGCTGGTCAGTGTTTCGTATTTTTCTGGCTGTTTTTCTTGCCCTTGGCTGGCTGCTGTAGGTTGATCCCTTCGAACTTCGTGAGATTTAGGTTCTACATGTGGAAGTCAGTAGACCACAGACATTGCGTTACTTTTGATCTAAGATTACCATTTCTGTTTCCAGTCAGATATTTTTCTGTCTAATCGTTAGGTTAATTACATAGGCGGCGACAGAGCTATCAATGGATCTGTGAGAATTTGCATAGTTAAGCGAAGATATCAAAGTAAATACTAGCAGTTCTACCCATGTTTACAAGTAATAATAATAACCCATAATGTGTTCAGTCATATTCTAATGTGCAAAGAGGAAAACTCAAAATGAACAAACACGGACATGAGAACACATAAGACTTACAGCGGTGAAGGAGGTCTCTAGACCACACACACTGGTTGCCACACTAGGAAATGTAAACACACACACACCTGCTCCTGGCGGCCCATGAGCTATGAATCGACCCCTGCAGCCACAATTAGGCGAGTACACATACACACACACGTTGGTTCCAGGATATTTTTTTCCACTTGCTGAGAGTTCTTACGCGTAGACGGTAGTGACGTGAACAAGATGTGTTGTGAACAGAATTGTGTAATATTCTCGTAGCCTTTATAACCTTACTTCTGTCTTCCATCGGTACAACTGGTGCTGGAAACATACTTGCACATTTTCCTTTACTCACAATAACCTCACTACTCACCTCACAACTCCTCCCTCACTAGACACTACAATTTACATTACAATTTATTTCGGCAACTGAGAAGTTAATATTTTAGCCAGGACCATTCGTACTCTCTTCCGTCACACCAACTTGATGACCCAAATTAAATCGTCTCAAGCAATAGCATCATTCTAAACATGTTTAATTTAATATTTAACAAGTTTCTCCTCAAGTGACGCTTCAGGCACTTACAACGTTGATCTCATAAGAGTTAATTACCTTGAGGGAAAGTTATCTGGTGTGCAATTTTGTTATGTATTAGTTAAATAAACGCACGTCTTCTCTCACACTGAGTCCAAGATGTGACACAATAATGTATACTCTTCAAGCGCACTGTAGACTTAACCCAATGTCTGTGAACATGTATTTTTTTTAATTTCTGTTATACAATGCGAGTACAAGTATGTACTATGATGTTATCTCGTACAACTGTTGTTAGTTGGGTGAAAGAGGGTGAAGGAGATGTAACAATTGTCATTATTATATATCATCATTAACGTGATGTTATATTTGTTATATATATGAATATCCACTGACATTCAGTGGCAGTAATGCCACTGAATGTCAGTGAATGTCAGTGGATGTCTCTGTACACAACCATTGTAATTTATGTATCACGCAAATTTCTACATCTGTATACTGTATAATTTGTATTATGAACAAATTATATTTCCACTGTTATTTTAACTGTTAATTTGTTAACTTGATGTTTAGTTAGTAAAGTTCATGGTTTATTAACTTCACGAAGGTCATTAAGGTTGCTTAAATCAATGATACTTCAATCCATACAGGAATTCAAGTAAATTCTCAGTATGTATATATACCAAGTGTGTATATACGGAGGGTATATACACACTTCTCGGTGTATATACCCTCGGTGTATATACATCTCATCGAATACCATTATCATTTCCCTGTTATTGTAGTCACTTATTATTATTATAAATAATCCACAAAGAATTATGATTATATATATTAAATATAATCACTTGCTATTATTATATATTTTTGTAATGAAAATGCATAGTCATAAAATAATATTACTTTCAATATTATGTTCGATATTTTTTAAGCAAGTCTGAGACATTGGATAGACTGTTTACACTAAGGTACGGAACGTTCAACGTATACATGGAACAGTGTGTATCTCAGTGAAAATACACTGAGAGGTGTGCATCTCTTAGTATGTACTGATGGAAAGGCGTTTATCTCTCAGTATACATACAAAGGTGTGTAATACATTATATATTAAACGTATAAGAGAAAATTTTAAGAAGGACTTCATTTTAAATGAATTCTTGCTAATTGACCAATTTTACCTATTCGGCACATTACATTTATATATATTATTATATATATATATTATATATATATATATATATTATATATATATATAATATATATATATATATATATATCCCCTTTAAGTGTATACACTTTAATCTTAATTTTAGGTATTAAAGCTTTCTTGATCTTAGTGCCTGACAGATAAACTAACATGGCTTAAATTAACCACGTGGCCTAAAACTAGAACGAATTTAGCCTTAATGACTAAAATACCTTAAAACTAACAAAATGAGTTAGAATTTATTACCCCTATGCATTAAAATTAACCAATTAACTTAAAATTAATTACCCACATGTCTAAAAACTAAGAAACTTAATGAACTATGTTATGTTAAACTAACAAACTTACTAAGTAGAGCCAAGTCTATATTATCTTAACAATTTCCTATTAGTTGTATATTGTCTTTTACAAGCAAGATTTATACATTGCCTTCCAAATCTATAGGATATAGGACACTGCAGATTTTGCTGCTTAATGTAACATCTTACAGTTAGAATATAATGTACATTATTAGAAGGCAATTATGATGCAGGTCATAAGTGGTAATGACAAGTAAATTGCATGAAGTATAAAGCGTGTAATATAAAGTGTTAAGTGTGTTTGGTGTGTGGCTTCAAATCAAGTCCATGAACCGGTAAATCCCTCATGAGCGGAAAATAAAAGACAGTAGGAAAAACGGTTTTGATATTTCCGCCACAATCATAGATGCTGTTGAAGAGGGTTTGCGAGGCCGAAATATACAGACTATCTCTACTTCGTGTTGCATGTACCATCCATGTAAGATTCACCTGTTCATACGAGGTGTATGGCGTGGCCTGGGTGCATGTCAAGGTTTGTGAAGCTAGACGAGTGCGCGCGCGGTGTGTTGTGTGTTAAAAGGTCGTTGTGATGCACTGGGAAGCGAGTGTTGGTCAAATAGTGTCATTTAGCTAAAGAAATGCATGTAATTATCTGTCTAGTTCCATATATGTAGCACTGACACGTGACACGTATACCTCATCAATTGATGCCACGTATGCATCGTTAAGTGACAAATGATACATGTCTCGCCAAATGAAAACTAGTCACTAAGTGTCAAGACCAAGTATGTCTGGCTAAGTGACAAGAGGAAAATATGCCTCTTTGAATGACAGGTAAAATGTTTGTCTCGTTAGGTGATAAGACATGTATGTCTCGTTAAGTGATAGGAGTATAAAGCAAGAAGAGTGGGGGGGGGGGGGGGAGCATAAACACAACAGTACAGTGAACCCTGGATGGTGGTGGAGTGTTGCGTGTGTGTGTTGCCGCGCTCAAGATATGTACCAAGGCAGGGCTGAGTGGTGGTCGAGAGATAGATGAGAGGGTTGGGAGAGGAGAGAAAGATGGGAGGAGAGATGGGGATCGGAGTAAAAGGAAATGAGGGACGAGGTGGAGAGGGAGATGAAGTAGCACCATGCACTGTTTATTAAAAAACAAAAAGTAAATGGAAAATCAGCAGAGGAGGAATGTAGAACCTACCAGAAAGCTTACTACCTCCGCCTTCACTTAGCTACTAAATTTTCCGTATTTCAACTTGTATTTCAACTACTACTATACTGCTGCTGCTGCTACTACTACTACTACTATTACTAGGACTCCTGCTACTTTTGTAACTCGTCCTCCAAATAGCAAATACCATTTTTTTCCAATGTCTTACAGCGCCTTAATTTTATTGGCTCTACCTAAGTCAAAACCAAACATTAATTATTCTATGTACATATTTTAATGTACAGTTACCCGTTAATGAGAAAATTAGCCAGACTAGAGGTTTACGTCTGGTAGCGGACAAACAGTGGCCACTACAGTCGATGTAAACAACAACGCTCATTGTTTAATTTGGAGGACGGGTTGCCTGCTGTTACTGCCGCTTCTGCCACCACAATGAGCCAGTTATCCCATCCACCCCCTTGCAACGCTTCCAATTTTCTTGCGCTTTGGTATTTCCAACACAGCTGTATTATCTTTGGATATATCCACAGCCGGCCACAGATGCAGCGCTATTTCTTGAAAGAAGAATTTGCTTTTTACTTGAATTCGTATCAGCGAATTTTTTTTTTTTTGCGATTTTTTTGACGTTAGTCCTATTTCTATATCATTTACCTAGATTATGAAGAGGATGGGGCCGAGAATCGAACCCTGAGGTACCCCACTTGTTACGCTCAGCCATTCGGACGCTTCCCTGTTCAACACTACTCTCTGTTTAATATCGGTGAGCTAATCCCGAACACATTATTGTAATTTTTTGACTTTTAACATGCGACTCTTGTTTATTTGATATTTTAAGCAGTTTTTTTTTTTTTGCCAAAAAGATTTGTGGAAATTTGGTTTCAATATATCTGTGGGGAATTATTGAAGTCCCAGTTCTATTTATGGCATTAAAGAATAATATATTATATATGGCATTTTGTTGCGAAATTATTGATGCTTATTAATTATTATGCTGGTTTCTTCTCAAATATTATAATTTCGTAATTAAAAAAACTGGTTATTATTATTATATTATTTTACCTAACAGTAATATCAATCTATAGGCAGAAGATCAGTGAGAACTTCTTTTCACCTTAAATAGTGGACATACATTAAAAAAAAATAATTTATTAGTGATTGTAGTGTGTGTGTGTGTGTGTGTGTGTGTGTGTGTGTGTGTGTGTACGTGTACTCAATTGTACTTATCTAACTGTGGTTGCAGGGGTCGAGTCATACCTCCTGGCCCCGCCTCTGCACTGGTGAGAGAATGAAATGATTCATTAAATGTTACCGTTAATGAAAGCGCCATTGGTCACTAAGTTTGTAAGATATTTGGTATCGTAAATGCTGTCTTCTCTATACTTGCATTCTGTGTGCATTTCATTATGGTAAGGTTACTAATTTCAATTATTTAAGTGTGTAATTTTCAGAGCCTTCAGAGATGTTCTTGTACTCACGAGTTATTTGTTTCCTCTTCGTTTCAGAAAGGCCAAATACAGTGTTAGTTATTATTATTATTATTATCATCATAACTAAGCGTTAATAGTGTTAGTAAACAAAATGTTTGTTTATTGGGCTATAGGTCACTTTACTTTTTACCAGATTAAAGGGATTATGCACAACATTTTTGTACGTTGCTTATTAAAAAATCACTAGATCAGTAGTATAATAACAACACAGTAGTGATAAAAATTATATATAGCGGAGCCAGTGGAAGAAATGGACACTCCTTCCACTGGCTCCACTATGAAAGTCAGTCTTCATGCCTGAAGAATATGCAGGCGAAATTCTCTCTCTCTCCTCTCTCTCTCTCTCTCTCTCTTCTCTCTCTCTCTCTCTCTCTCTCTCTCTCTCTCTCTCTCAGTCAAGATACTTGGGTTGTAAATGTGTGTTATTCATTACTGTAAATTTAGTTTCGAGGTAATTTACACGAGATATTTCCGACAGTAAGGTGGTGCACCTCTCTGTTAATTAAAACGTAAAAAATCATAATTGGTAATATTTCAGTTTCCTTTCAACACTAAGAAAACAAATGTACACCTTTACTTGTTCCTAAATGAGACCTATAGAAAAAAAAAGCGAATGGTACATTTAAACAGTAATAAAAAACTTGAAGCAAAATGATATTCAATGATGTACATTTATAATATATATATATATATATATATATATATATATATATATAATATATATATATATTTTTTTTATGTTGATATATATATATATAATGTCGTGCCGAATAGGCAGAACTTGCGATATTGGCTTAAATAGCAACGTTCATCTTGCCATATAGGACAAGTGAAAATTTGTGTATGCAATAATTTCGCCAAAATCATTCTGAACCTAACGAAAAAAAATATATTTCACTGTGTTTGTTCAGTATTAAATTACTGTAAACAAATCTAAAATATATTTAGTTGGGTTAGGCTAAAATAAATTGTTCTTGTTATAATAAGGTTAGGTAAGTTTTCTAAGTTCCTTTTGGTGCAAAATTATAAATTTTTACATCAACATTAATTAAAAAAAATATATTTTTAAACGTATAAGAGAAAATTTTAGAGAGGACTTAATTTTAAATGAGTTCTTGCTAATTGACCAGTTTTACATATTCGGCAATTTTTTTTGAAATATTATATATATATATATTTATATATTATATATTATTTTTTTTTTTGTGTGTGTGTGTGTGTGGTGTGTGTGTGTGTGTGTGTGTGGGCGGCGCGCGCAATAAGATCACAGTAAACAGGTGATTTCAGAATATGCCAACCACTGTGAAAGAATTAAGTTTGAATTAAGTTTTAAGGCATTGTTAAAATTTATGGTCACCCTCTCTAACAATACCTTGGATGCTGTAAGCACTTCTCTATTCTCGTTTACTACCATTGATGTTTTATCATTCTCTCTCAGATTTTCACGTTTTCAATTTTTTTCTGTATTGGCCATGGTATTGTTTTGTCCATGAAAAGTATTTAGGCTTAGGTTGCGTTAAGTTAGGTTTGACAAGATTGTTTAAATTATCTTGTGCTGGATTAAGGTAGGTTGTGTTAGGTCTTGTTAAGTTGTATTAGGTTACATTAGATTACGCTAGGTTGTGTTGCGTTAGATGTTAGTAACGTTTAATTAGGTTATGTTAAATATGAAGGGTGGATGAGAGAGTGTTTAGAAGCAAGGGAGTGGGAGAGAGAATGTATAGAGGGATGTAAGGTGGGTGAGTAGATGGAAGAGTGAGGGATATGAGGCGGGTGAGTAGATGGAAGATGAGGGATATGAGGCGGGTGAGTAGATGGAAGGGATTGAGGCGGGTGAGTGATGGAAGAGTAGGGATATGAGCGGGTGAGTAGATGGAAGAGTGGGGATATGAGGCGGGTGAGTAGATGGAAGAGTGAGGGATATGAGGCGGGTGAGTAGATGGAAGAGTGAGGGATATGAGGCGGGTGAGTAGATGAGAAGAGTGAGGATATGAGGCGGGTGAGTAGATGGAAGAGTGAGGGATATGGGCGGGTGGGGTAGATGGAAGAGTGAGGGATATGAGGCGGGTGAGTAGATGGAAGAGTGAGGGATATGAGGCGGGTGAGTAGATAAGAAGGTGAGGATATGAGGCGGGTGAGTAGATGGAAGAGTGAAGGATATAGGCGGTGAGTAGATGAAGAGTGAGGGATATGAGGCGGGTGAGTAGATGGAAGAGTGAGGGATACGAGGCGGGTGAGTAGATGGAAGAGTGAGGGATACGAGGCGGGTGAGTGATGGAAAAGTGAGGATATGAGGCGGGTGAGTAGATGGAAGAGTGAGGGATACGAGGCGGGTGAGTAGATGGAAGAGTGAGGGATATGAGGCGGGTGAGTAGATGGAAGAGTGAGGGATATGAGGCGGGTGAGTAGATGGAAGAGTGAGGGATATGAGGCGGGTGAGTAGATAGAAGAGTGAGGGATATGAGGCGGGTGAGTAGATGGAAGAGTGAGGGATATGAGGCGGGTGAGTTAGATGGAAGGTGAGGGATATGAGGCGGGTGAGTAGATGGAAGAGTGAGGGATATGAGGCGGGTGAGTAGATGGAAGAGTGAGGGATATGAGGCGGGTGAGTAGATGGAAAGGTGAGGGATATGAGGCGGGTGAGTAGATGAAGAGTGAGGGATATGAGGGGGTGAGTAGATGGAAGAGTGAGGGATATGAGGCGGGTGAGTAGATGGAAAGAGGGATATGAGGCGGGTGAGTAGATAGGGAAAAGTGAGGGATATGAGGCGGGTGAGTAGATAGAAGAGTGAGGGATATGAGGCGGGTGAGTAGATGGAAGAGTGAGGGTTTTGAGGCGGGTGAGTAGATGGAAGAGTGAGGGATATGAGGCGGGTGAGTAGATAGAAGAGTGAGGGATATGAGGAGGGTGAGTAGATGGAAGAGTGAGGGATATGAGGCGGGTGAGTGATGGAAGAGTGAGGGATATGAGGCGGGTGAGTAGATGGAAGAGTGAGGGATATGAGGCGGGTGAGTAGATAGAAGAGTGAAGGATATGAGGCGGGTGAGTAGATGGAAGAGGGGATGAGGGGGTGAGTAGATGGAAGAGTGAGGGATGAGGGGGGTAGAATGGAGAGTGGGGAATGAAGGGTGGAGTGTAGAAGGTGAGGGATAGAGGGGTGAAGGGTGGAAAAGTGGGGATATGAGGCAGAAAGCTTGATGAGAGTGAGGTATAGGGGATTAATGGAGAGTGAGGAAAGACCTTGAGTAGATGGAAAAGTGAGGGATTCTTGAGTCCTCCCGGGCAGGTATATTTAGGAAGCTATCTTACCATTCCAACGGTATTTGGATCATACAATTTCTCATGCTACCTTCATCCCAGCTCAGGTCATAATTCCGTGGACCCCACCCCTTTATCCACATCATTTTCAAATCCTTCCGAAGGAAAGAAAATTTTATGAAATTATCCTTAAACCATTTTCTTACTCCTCCCTCCTTCCCGCTCCCAGTCCTCAACTTCCTTTTTTAAAACCACTCCTTTTTATCCTCCTTTTTTTATCTTTATTTTTTACTCTTTCGTCTTGCGTATATCCTGCATACAATTCATTCCTCGTCATTTTCTTTCCTTCCAGGTTGCTTTCTTTCGTTCGTTAAAACATTCTGCTTTTTCCCCCTTCCCCTCCCCCTCCCCCCCTATCCGCCCATCTTTCAATCCCTCATAAACAGCCACACCTCCCTCCCTCTCATTTAACCGCCCCTCATGTACAAAATTGATTAGTTGATTAGCTACCTGTTCTCCCCCCTCTTCTCTCTCCTGCCCCTCCCCCGTCCCCTTTTGGTTGTTAGTAAGTCACGCCTCCCCCTCCACTCCCCGCTTCCTGTCCCCTCTCCCGTACCCTCATTTCAATCCCTCCCCTCGACCCCAGCGCCAGGTACGCCGTTACCTGTAGCGCTAATCATGGCAGAGCTGTCGTGGGCAAGAACTTGAAGAAATATACGTTTCTCTCCGCACTGACCTGGGTTTTATGATTTTGGTGGGCGCACGCACGCACACACACACACACACACACACACACACCACACAACACACACACACACACACGCACACACACACGCACACACACACGCACACACACACGCACACACACACGCACACACACACGCACACACACACGCACACACACAGGCACACACACGCACACACACGCACACACACGCACACACCGCACACACACGCACGCACACGCACACACACACACGCACACACACACACACACACACACACACACACACA